AACAATTTAATTCAATATTTTTATTACATAATATATTTACATATACAATCCTCGCAATTAGAAAAAATGACGAATAAAAAAATTTACATTTAATAAACGTATTTACTATTATTTTAATTTTAAAATTTTGATTTAAATTTTAGCAAATCTGTTCATTTAACTTTTACTAAAGGTTAATAATTTTTAAAGTGATTTTAAGGCGCCTTTTAAAGCGTAATTTAAAAAGTTCTACATTTTTTTGATTAAAAAACATATATTTTTTTAAAAAAATATATTTTTTTATTTATTAAAAGTAATTTTAAAAAATTATGTTTAATAAATAAGTTACATTTACTATATAAATTATTGTAATCATTTTTATTATTAGTCAAAAAAAATAAGGAAAAGAAACAGAACTTTCTGAAAAAGTTAATTTTACTATGAATGGATATTATAATAGTTTTTTAAAAAAAACATTTTATACATTTCATTATTATTGGATTTTGTAACAAGTTTTTAAAACTTTCATTTTTTTTAAACATTCAGTTAGTAACCAAAAGACCGTCGTGGACAGGAAAGGCGTGCGATCGCACTACAATTATGATCATGTAATTGTTTTTTTTAAAGCTTGACCATGGCTCTATAGAAAATTAAAAATGTGCTGAAAAAAATCGACAAAAGAAAAAAACAAACAGGCCAAAATTATATAAAAAAATAAAGAATTCTTAATGAAACAGAAATTAAAAATAAAAATTAAAACCTATAGCTCTAAAAAAAAATAAACTATTATAAATCTGAAAAACTAAAACTCTAATAGAAAATTATTTTTAATAATCTTTTGTAATTCTGTTAAGGTTGAATAACTCATCACGTTTGGTTTGACCAGTTTCTGACTGATTTTTTTTATATTAGGAGAATAGCAAATAAATCTTTTTTTTTTTTTTTTTTTTAATGTCTAAATAGTAATATATATATATATGATTTTTTATTTATTTATGTATTTTTATATATCAATCAAATAAAGAATACATAAACAAATAAAATAGTAATAATATAATTAACTTTAATGAAACATTAAAAAAAAATATTAAAAGACTCTATTTAAATTCTCCTAAAACAGTTACAACTATTTCAAACCAACTGATGAACTATGAAACTTTGGTTTTTTATAATGTTTTTATATTAAGCGAACTCTTTTAAATAAATAAAAAAAGTTTTATATTAAAAATATTTTATATAAATTTCAAGTTTAAATTACTAAATCAAAAATCAAAGGTCATTAGTAAAGTTTTCATAGTTCAAATCAAATGATTTTAAAAAGAACTTATAATATTTGTTCAATGTCACACTTCCTTCCTTAACTTATGTTCAATGTCACACTTCCTTAACTTCTTTCATTCCTGATACTTTTGAAAAATAAATTAGGTAGAACAAGACTCTATTATCTTTATGAGATTTTTTAATATTTGTTATTTTGAAACAATATAAGCAATACTAGTTTTTAAAATTGTTTTTTAACTACTGCAACAGATTTAAAAAGTTCGTAATATCTATTAATAAATTTTTCAGTATACCACAAGGAAGTATACAAAACAGTGGAATGTTGTTTATACATTTAACCTGTAATGTAAGCAGTTTTTTTTTTGTTGCCATTATTTGCCATAAAAATAAGACTTCAAGGTCCTAATATTTTTTAGGGAAAGTGGTAATAACAGTATTTAAAAAAAACTCTACTATTATGGACATAACTAAAATTCATTTGTAAAATTCTAATTTAGTAAAAAAAAAATTTTAACGTTCAAAAAGTTGACAACCCCCTCGATACAATTATTAAATAATAATAATAATAATAAAATAATTATTAAACAACAACAATAGTTAATAGGTATTAGCATTAAATATTATAATGTTAATATATTTCGCACCACAACACTAATTTATTGCTAAAGAAGTTACTTAAATAATATACTTGTCAAAAATTAAATCTTTATTGTTTGTTTGTTAAACCACTAATAATTTACACAACTTAACATTGAACTAAAAGAGTGCAAAAAAGAATACATGTACTCTCTGCATCCCCCATACCTATTTAAGTCAGTCAATGTATGTAATCGGGTTTGGCCAGGAAGGCATGTAGTTTCTTAAGAAAAGTTGTAATATTTAAAGTATTTAAATATAATTTTATATAAGAATCATTAAAGTTAATTCATGATTTTTTTTGTTTGTTTGCGTAAAAAATCGATTATGTAAACAAAACAAAAAAAAATCAATGGCGTCATGTACTAAAACTCTTAATAATAAAAGTGCATGAATAAATTATAAAGTCTGTAGATTGCAGCATATGTTATGCTGACTTTTTGGCCCACAACAAAATGAAGAAGGTGAGGTTTGACTAAACTAAAAAAGTTAGTTTTTCTTAGTGTGCATTTATTCTTGTTTTAATCAAAAAAAAAATTTAGCCCAATTAATTTTTTCTAACATTCTCTTTAATATGAAAACAACATGTCAGGAGGTTTGGGATCCCTTAAGTTACAAATATTTTTTCAGTGTCTTTAAAATGTATACAAATTTTCAAAACATATTAACAGCTGTGGTCAAGTTTTCAAAATCAAATAGTACTTGCATGGTCATATTATGACGTGAAATTGCATGCCTTCCTGGCTGACCCTGTCAGGCTTTCAAAAAAGTTTGTCTTTTTTTTTCTTCTCAACAAAATCAGTCTTTTTTTTTGAGTAAAATAACTTTAAAGGAATCCCCAAGTGCCAAGATAAGTTGTGTTCATATCATAGATAAACAGAAAATAAATTAAAAGTTAATTAAACTTTCTAAAACATCCTAATTTTAGGCTCTCGAATCTGCATAGTTTTTTCTGTTTAATTTTTTTTTTTAAATTTACACTTTTTTTATTTTACTTATAAAAAAATCTTATATAATTAAATAATAAAAACAAAATTAATAAAACTTCCGGTGATACTTTAAATTAAATCATTAGTTACTTTATTTAAAAGCGTTTTACTAATATAAAAATGTTAGTAAAGATAAACGTGTCGAAGTTTTTAACGTAATTAAAAACCAGTTTTTTCAGTACATTTGTTAAAAACTGTTGTTAAATCATCAAAACAAAATATTATTTGTATGGTCATATAAAGGCTTGAAATTGCACGTCTTCCTGGCCAAGCCTGTGTAATTACACTGTGACTATTATCATATCACCTAATTATGTATGCATTAATTATTATTATATTGTGAAGCTTAAATTTTTTTTTTTTTAACATCTTTGCTTGCAACAAGGCTGCAAGCAACCACCTTTAGAGTTATTAGTTACTGGAAGAGAAAAGATGAAGTATCTAGAGTAAGATAACGATTGACAGAATACTTAAAAGATTGCAAATTATATGAATCAAGAAAGCAAGATGAAGGAAGTGAAGTCTAAAGAACTGCTGTTTGAGGAAAAAAACTAGCGGAGTAAGAGTTTTTGAAGCACTTAGGAACAATCACAGAAAAAGGATGAGACTTAATTGAATAATGAATAACACAAGAATGAATTTAAGTAGATTGCACAATAGACACTAGCTCTTTAGAGCAGTGTCCATTATAGTACTAGTAGAAATGAGAAAGAATTAACATTACAACAATTAGCAGGTCCAACTATGTTTACAATGCGTTTTTGCACCTTGTCTAAAAGAGAAAGGGCATTATTAGAAGATCCGACGCAGATATGGCAACAGTATTCCATACATATGGATTTAAGATTTATAGAGAATAGAATCCGGAGTAAGAAAGTGCCAACCTTAGCATATGCTAGTTTTGCAATTGATTTGATATATGATTTCCAAGAAAGATTGGTAGTAAGAGTTAATCCTAGAAAATGACAGGTAGATGACTCATCAAGTACAATTCCATTCATAAATATAGGAAGATCAAAATTATTGCGATATTTAATTTATTGCGATATAAATTCAATAAATATAGTTATAATTAAACAACAGTAATAGTTAAAAAACAAGTTTCAAATAAAAAATCAAAATGCAAAAGTTTTTTTTCTTAAAGAGAGTTTACCCTGAGTTTTGATTGATGCGCCTCAGTTTATGCTAGTTTAATCATCCATAGCTCTATGCTAACAAATTAGAGGTTGAAAAATTAAAGAGTTTAAAATTTTTTTGCTTACAAATCAAAGTTTTTTTGTGGGCAATCTATTTGTACGTGCATGCAAATAATGACTTTCAAAGTAATGTTAAATAACAATTAAAATTTATATTTAATAAAATGTATTCATTAGATAACTAAAAGTTGAGGTGGGGGGAATTCAGTAAAACATGACGTTTTGTTACTGGGGAGTGGGTGGAGAGGGACAGGTCCAAAATTGTCAAAAATTGTGTGACAATTTATGGACAAACCCCTAAACAAAAAAGTTCAGTGAAAATGTTTTTTTTGTTATTAAAGTTTTTGTTTTAAATTTTTATGAATTAATAAAAAAGCCAATCTTTGCTATGGGATACAACTGCCAACCTGAATCTCTGAAAAGTGTTGACATGCAAAAATAAATATATCGTCAGCCGAGAACTAGGAGGCTGTATATCCAATTTATGTGTTTTCGAAAAAATCAAGTTTTAAAATTTAATTTTTAAAGATTTTCTGCTAAATTGTCCAACTAATTTATTTGACACATACTGCATTGATTGTTGAATATTTATTGATAATAAACAGAAAAAACACAAAATGTGGGTATACGAACTCTTGGTTCTTGGCTGATGATATATAAAAAATATAAAATATTTGTTCAATAGGAGTTCATAATTTATTTACTGTAATTATTTATTTTTTCAAGTTAGATATTTCTCAAATACAGTTATATTAAACAAAGTTATTCAAAATTCAATAAAACTTTTCAAAATGTCTGTTGTTCTTATTAAAAGTTAAATATGGAGTTATTAATAAAATTAGTTTTTTTCGGAAATGATTCTGATGGTAGAAAAATTGATTGTGTTTTAAAAGTTATATACATTTATTATTATTTTTAGAGACAACATTAATATCAATGATGTGTTGGGTGGATACTCATTGACTTTAATAGATGCACTTGATATGCTTGCAGTAAGTTTTGTAACTTTAATAGATGCACTTGATATGCTTGTAATTTTATTAAATTTTATGTGTTCACTAGCGATATTTTGGTTGTTGTAGGAAAAATTATTCAGAAACTATTTTAGTTTTAATTTAATCTGAACTTATCAGGGTTAGTAATTTCAAAATTTGAGACCAAAAATGGCTGCATGGTCTATTTATTTTTTTATTGGTGTATATATTATCTGTTAGAAATTGGGTCTGTATTGGATGAATGGTGAGATAATGTATAAAATACAAACAAATAAACAAGCATACAATTGAGAAATGGTATTTCCAATAAAAGCCAGAGTGATTTGGATAACTAGCAACTGGATACATCTGTATATCTTGAATGGCAGAAAAAGTGTGGCCTTTTAATTTGAGGAACGAATAATAGGAAAATTTCTTTGCAAGTAGTTCTGCCTTATCCTTTGGTGATATGATAAAATTAGACCCATGTATTAGAGATAGAAGGTTAGACTTACCTTTATTAATGACACTGTTGAAGATCTTCCAAAAGTCTGTAGAACCTAATTTCTTAACCTAATAACCTAAAAAATTGTTTGAGGTGTTGTATTCAAACCAATTAAGGTGATGAGCATTAAAGTCACGAGTAACAACAATATAAGCTGAAGGATAAAGAGAAAGAGCTTGGTCTTTTAGATGTAATTTGATCAGAAATTAAATCTAAAAGAGTGCAGTCTTGAGATGAAGGAGAACAATTAAAAAAAAAAAAGTGATTGAATGAAGTGCTAAACGGAAGCACATAAAAGATTGGTCAGATGATTCCTACCCTGGTTTTATAACAAATAGGTGAATTTAGGCCTAAATATATGTCCAGGCAAAGTATGTGACTCTTTAGTCTCTGGAGTCTTTTCCGATCAAAGGATAATAACCATCAATGCTGAGATCAGAATATGAAACAGCCAAATTCGAATTAGTTTCACAAAGACCAATTAAGTCTAGAGAATTTTGCAAGAAGTACAAATTAAAAATTGAAACTGATCGGTAATGATGAGTTTTTTTTTTTTGATTTTTTTTTGTACTTTACTCATGTCTGAAGTAAAGAGAACTTCCCTCAATCATAGATATTGTGTGGCACCCCAAAGTAATCAGCTATGCAATTGCCTAAGTCCTGCTAATCAACATGAAGTTGTAAATTAGAGCTCCTAATGCAGCCTCAACAATGCACAACAAAAGCATTAACACTATTCATGTGGAACATGGCGCTGTTAATACTTTGATATTATACAGCTGTTGGTGGAATCAGCTTTTCTGAAAGCTACCACAGTGTTTGGGAAACCTTACTATCAGCCTGCCTCAGAAACATTAAACTGAGTTTTAAAGTTGTACCCTCATTAGGAGATAACAGGAAGAGCTTGGTCGGGAAGCGGGAGCGATGGCTCTCGAATACTGACCACGGAAATTATATTTATATATGTGTATATATATATATATATATATATATATATATATATATATATATATATATATATATATATACATATATATATATATATATATATATATATATATATATATATATATATATATATATATATATATATATATATATATATATATATATATATATATATATATATATATATATATATATATATATATATAGTTATAAGATAGAATGAGCAAATTTTGATTTAAAAAGTTGCAAGCAATAAATTGACTTATTTAAAGAATTGCAAGTAATAAATGGCCAAAAAATAATAATAAAAAGAAGAACAATAACTATAAAAAAAGCCAGAGTAATAACAAAAAAGAAAAAAGTGAATAAGCTAACATGAGAGATAATAAATGAATATATATATACTAAATGTATATATAGAACAGTTGTTATAAAGACTTTTGAGTTTTGTTGTTAAAACTTTAGAGTTTTGATATGTGTTAATTTTTTCTATATGTTGAACTATTTTAGTAATGTGCCAATAATGGGGCATAGTTGGTCAGCAAATTAGGGACATAAAAAAAGTTCAATTTTTTACCTTTATACTTAGTGTTTTTCATTAAATTTTAGACTAATTATTAACAACAGTTTTATGAAAATAAATTGCAGACCTATTGCAAACTAACTACTATAGCAATCATGTTTTTGAGAATGTTGCTTATTGCAAGACCATTAAATTTGCATATATATTGCTTATAATATAAAAAAGATGGATTTATATTACTCATAATATGATAAAAGCAGTTTGACATATTAGGGGTTTTTTTGTGTGGTTTTTTCTAATGTTTTTTTAAATGGGGGGTTTTTTATAGTGAGTTTTTATACTAACTATGCTCAAAATAGTTTATTCATGAGTTTCTTGAGTAGCTTTGGTTGTATCTTGTTTTGTAAGTATTATTAATATTATTAATGATATTGTTAGATTGTAGGCAACCAGTCAGAGTTCAAAAGTGCTGTCAAATTAGTTTTATCTCATGTCAGTTTTGATCAAGACAATGTTGTGCAAGTATTTGAAGCTACTATAAGGTAAGTCTTTCAAATTTTCAAATTTGGTTTGTTATTTGCCATTTTATGTTAGAGTCTTTAGCAATAAGCCCTTTTAGATCACTTAGTGTTACATTTATATATATTATTGTATACATTACAGTTTTTATATAGCTTTTAAAGTTGCATTTGATGGTCGTTTGATGGATTTATCACTATGTATTTATATGTAGTTTTTAAATCTACATTTGGTGGTTATTTGATGGATTTATTTCCTTCTACGCATTTCTATTTAGTTTTTAAAGCCACAATTGATGTTCATTTACTAAATTAAATTTTATTTTTATTATAGTTAATTAAACAAATAATAACTAATGTAATATTTTCAATATAGAAGTAATAAGTTGAATATTTAAAAAAAATATTTTTATCATCTTTTTTATACTTAATCTTTAAAGAGTATTAGGAGGTCTTCTTTCTGCTCATCTCTTGATTACTGATCCAGATGAGCCATTTGGAAAACTGAAGCCATTAGATTATGATAACGATTTATTAACATTAGCTCATGATTTAGCGAATCGTCTACTACCTGCATTTGATTCTACTAACACTGGTGTCCCTTGGCCTAGAGTAATTACTTTTTTTTTAATGATTATTTCACTTGTGTTATGAAAAATATTACTTTGTTTTTTTCTCAATTTCTTATTTCTATTGTCTTTCTAATTTTTCAGGTTAATCTCAAATATGGAATTCCCCCATCTACTTCAACAATGACTTGTACAGCAGGTGCTGGTACATTGTTAGTTGAGTTTGGAATTCTTAGCAAGTTGCTCGATGATCCTATATATGAGCAAGTAGCGCGAAGAGCATTGAACTCTCTTTGGAAGCAGCGTTCCAATGAAACTGGATTGTTTGGTAATTTTTGGGTTCCATATTATCTTTGCTGTTTTTTTGTTCTTTTTTTTTTTAATATCATGTTTTAACTTTGGTTTTGATTGGTGTATAGGAAATGTGTTTGATGTCCAAAGTGGAGAGTGGATTGGTAAAATGAGTGGCATAGGAGCTGGCATTGATTCATTTTATGAGTATTTACTTAAAGTGAGTTAAACTATATATTTAATTTTATAATGTCAATATGAAATGAGGAAAAATATTTTAAAGTTTAATAACAGTATAATTAATCACGTTTGGAATTGTATTTTTAGGCTTTTTATATGTCATTGAATGTCTATATATGTCATATATATATATATATATATATATATATATATATATATATATATATATATATATATATATATATATATATATATATATATATATATATATATATATATATATTTATAAAAGAATAAAAAAACAGCAAAGATAATATGGAACCCAAAAATTACCAAATAATCCAGTTTCATTGGAAACGCTGCTTCCAAAGGTAGTTCTATGCTTTTCGCGCTACTTGCTATATATATATATATATATATATATATATATATATATATATATATATATATATATATATATATATATATATATATATATATATATATCCACCACGTCTCTGGTAGTACCGCGCTCAACTCGTTTCTCCGCGCTGCGGCCTTGTTCGTCAAGGTTCGTGTTTTGGAATTATTGAGTTGAGAGAGGGTTATATAACCACAAATAACTAGCCTCCTTGTCTGTAGTGGCCTTCTCGGCCTTGAGGAGGTGAACTAACAAAATATATATATATATTGTTTTTAAATATATTAATGAGACAAAAAATAAGAAATAACTTGAATAATAGCAACAAACATAAAAAGCCAAAATAATAAAAACTAGAATGTGTTAAGTCATCACCACCATACTCACCTCTAACTCTAAAATACACCTCTCATATAGGTTAATGGTCTGGTGTAAAATTATAATCACTTTTTGTATTTTAAAATTTTAAATTTTCCTTCGAAAACATTTTTTTATGAAAAAATGAGAGCGCTAAGCAACTTGTTCAGAAGCTCAGCACGCTAATCACTCGGCCACGCTGGCATGTTGATCATTGAAATTTTAAAACTATATAAGAAATTTTTTTAACAGAAATAAGTGGTGTAGATTAAAAATTAAGAAGAGGTTGACGCAATGCCTTTTTTTAAGTGAAAGTCAAACTGTAAGACTTGATAATATGTTTAAGCATGTTTTAAATTACATAATATACGTATGTAGGATATAAGTTTCATGTTTGCTCAGGTTTTCTTATAAAGCAAAGCTGCGACTCTTTCTTGCCAATACCTCGGTTGCAATGGCTGCCAAGGGTTTCGTGTCAAACATGCTCCAAGGGACACTACTACTATTAAAACTATTAAGTTCGTCAATAATATATAGAGATTATTAATTAATTATTAATTTTTAAGTTATTGAATTATATTTTTAAAATAAATTTATTGAAACGTTTATAAAATAAGGATAAAAACCAGACTGTATTGAAAAATAAAAGGATTAAAGAAAAAACTGACTTAATATTTTTTTTTCGCTTTCAAATTTTTTTACAATTAAACTTACAATTGAAGTAGGGTATCGTAAACAAGAAAACTATTATAAATGCTTTTTCGAAGCTTAAATAATTTTATAAAATTTTAGTAAATGTATTTTCAAATCCTGATTATTTGTCAAACCTTGCTTTTAAATCTCTGATATTTTTTTTCAAACAGCCAACCATGACTGGCGAGAATTCATTTCGGGAGGTCAAAATAGCATTTTTAGTCATTTCAGATGGTCATTGACCGTTGACTGTCTGTTATTTTTCACTCTGTATATATATGTACATATATATATATATATATATATATATATATATATATATATATATATATATATATATATATATATATATATATATATATATATATATATATATATATATATATATATATATATATATATATATATATATATATATATATATATATGTATATATATATATATATATAGGCTTAGACAGGAACGGCGTGTAATCGCACTTTGTTACTGACCACGTTCATAATTTTCTTTCTTTATAACTTGACCATGGCTATTTTGATGTTTAAACAATTTGAATGCAATAAAAAAAGTGTTACGTTATAAATATAACGTAAATTTAAATGTTTGAGAACTTATTCATAAATTAAAGTTACTTTAATTTATGAATAAGTTCAAAATCTTTTGTGACTACTAGCTTTTTCACATTTTATGTGAATTATACAAAAATATAAAATAACTTTATTTACTTATATAAGCATGTATTTTGTTAATTATTGAAAAAGTTTTAAAGCATTTTATAATGTTCATACGATTAATTTTTATAATTAAACTTACAATTTTTAAAATGTTTTAAATAAACATTTTATTTTTAAAAAAAAATTTTTTTTTTTTTTAAAGGCACATTTTATTTATTTATTTATTTATTTTCTATTTTTATGAATAAAAAAGTTGAAAACCTTTTTTTTAATTAGACTTTCTAATTAGAGCATGAAATTATTAAAAATTATTATTTTAAAAAGATTACATTATTTTTTTAAACTTTTTTTTTTTGTTGCTACTTTTTTGAAAAAATAAATGTTTATACAATTTAAAAATATTACATACAACACTTTTTAATAAATTTAATAAAATTTGTTAATTTATTAAACAATCATTAGTAGTAATTTGTTACTTAATTTAAAAAAGTTTTGCGTTACTTTAAACGTTTAAAAAGATAAGCTTTAATAACATTTATTTTATACGTAATTAAAAACATAACAAAAAGTTTCGCTTCGAGTTTAAATTTTATTTTTACTTTAGTGCTTATATAATTTCTTTTTCGTTACGAATTTGTTTTTCGTTTCTTTTTTCTTTAAGAATTTTTTTTTTGTTAGTTTTTTTAAACTTTTTTCCTAGTTTAAGTTTAGCTTAACGTTTCTATATTCAGAGCATTTCTGAATTTTTCAAATCATCAAAACATATAAACAATCGTGGTCAAGTTGTCAAAAAATGAAATCAATTGCATGGTCAGCAATAGCTCTCGATATCATGTCATTCCTGTCCAAGCCTATATATATATATATATATATATATATATATATATATATATATATATATATATATATATATATATATATATATATATATATGTACATATATATACAGAGTGAAAAATAACGGCCGGTCAACGGTCAATGACCATCTGAAATGTCTAAAAATGCTATTTTGATCTCCCGAAATGAATTCTCGCCAGTCATGGTTGGCCGTTTGAAAAAAAAAAAGAGATTTAAAAGCAAGGTTTGACAAATAACCAGGATTTGGAAATACATTAACTAAAATTTTATAAAAATTTTATAAAATTATATAAATGATATATATATATATATATATATATATATATATATATATATATATATATATATATATATATATATATATATATATATATATATATATATATATATATATATATATATATATATATATATATATATATATATATATATCAGGCCTTCTCGTCAGAGGCGTGCGATCGCCTTATATGACAACGCATATAGTTCTTTGTTTTAAAACAAAGAGCTATATGCTTGACCACAGTTCTTTGCGAGTTTTGATAATTAGCGTGTTTAAAAAATGCGCTAAAAAAAACAATTTTTAATTTAATTGATTCCATAATTACAATTAAACTTCCACAAAGTTTCCTGAGTACTTCAATGCAACTTAATTAAAGGCAATTGTTGAAAAAAATATTGATGTTAGAAATATAATTCATATAAAAAAATATTCATATTAGTTTAAGGCAAAATGAGTACAGAAGCTATCAAAAAATAATTACAAACTATTTTATCATGGAAATATAATTTCTAATTAAGAAATTTCTAATTATTTACTAAAAAAAAGGAATTACAAATATCTTGAAACAATCGCATCTGCCAACTATTTTTTATCCCAGGGCATGACATAATGTTTTTTTTTTTTTAATGAACGTTGACTTTATTTATTGACGAACGTCTAATTTAAGAGAATAATGTCAAATAAAATTCAAATAATTTTTATTCTAGTTAATAAGTTATTAAATATATCAAAGATGCTTGGTAAATTTATTTGATTTTTATTTTTCAAAAACCTTTTTTTACACATTTGCAAAGTGCATGCAAATTAATGATAAATGCACAATAAAAAATTTTTTAAAAATGCAAAAGTTTTAATACGCAAACAAACATTATTTCACTTTATGGAAAATAAAAAAAAATTAAAAAAAAAGCATGTTAAATTTTATTTATAATTAATACGTTTACTTTAAACTTTTAATGTAATTGCTAAAAACATAAAAGAAACCATCGTTAAACGTTATGATCGCTTTTCTCAATAAAAGAAAGCAATCGAAATGTTTGAGCATGGTTTCTTTTGAAGTTTTGGCAAAGGCATTCATTTTAAGTAAAATTATGTATGCATTTGTGAGTGCATGCAAAAACCATGCTAAATCATAATTACTTTTTTCTAAAGCGGATTTAGTTATTTTACTTAAAAGTGACGCTATTGAAAAAAATACTTATATTATGGCATTAATTTAAATCTGTGAAATTAATTGTTTTTTATATTAAATATGTTTTTTTTTATAATAAATAAAAAACTAATGATCGCAAAATTATTTTGAAAAAAATTGCTGACATCATACGTTTGTTTTGAAAAATCCTAATCAAACTGCAACGTTTGTATTAGGAAAATTTAAGAAACGTGATGTTTGTTTTTCTGTCTGTTTTTTAAGAAATCCGCTCACTTTTGTCGATTTGTCATACCCTGTATCCTATTAATTTTTTAATAAAATTTTAAACTTGCACCAAAAAATTTTATTAAATTTCATGACACTTTTAAACAGCCTAAGTTACTTACGTTTTTAAACATCAATTTCTAAAAATATAAATATATAATCTGAGGGGAGGGGGTCCCTTTCCCTAACAATGGATTTACTCTTGTATTAGCCTAATTATTCGTGGGAAGGAATGATAAAGATTATTAGAGCTGTGATAATTTTTTTTTTGACTTCTGTTTACATTTAAGTTTACATTAATTATTAAATGTTTTGATTTTTTTTTCTGGTTTTACCTTTATTTATTTTATCATTCTTTGAATATTTTATTTTTTTAGGTTAATTTTTGTATTATATATTATTTTAAGGATTTTATTCTCTTTTCAGTTTATGGATTGATTATTTTAGTTTTAATTTGCTTTGTTTTTTTAAGGCACATTTTTTAAATACAATAATTATTAAAACTTGCAAAGAGCCGTGGTCAAGTTGTTAAAACAAAGAAATTTATGCGTGGTCATATAAGGCGTGCACCTTATATGACCACGATTGCACGCCTCTTACGACCGATCGCACGCCTCTTACGAGAAGGCATGATATATATATATATATATATATATATATATATATATATATATATATATATATATATATATATATATATATATATATATATATATATATATATATATATATTAACCTTCCAAATTTTTTTATTTAAATATTGATGTTCTTTTATTTTGGCTTGTTTTATTTAGAGCTATATTTTGTTTGGAGAAAAAGGAGACTTGGCAAAGTTCAACAGTGTGTATAAAGATGTGCGGAAACACCTTCGGAAGGGGTGCAATGTTAAAAATTATTGTCTCAGTAAAATTATTCTATAATTTAAATCATTTATATATTTTTCATTTTATTTATTTTATGCATTTTCCAATTTATTTTTAATCAGGGTTAGAAAATACCCAGGGTTATTTAAATACAAACTCGATTATTTATTAAATTAATTATAAATTAAACACAACTCGAATGGCTTTTTTTGTTGTTTTATTTTTATGTTTTGATAGGCTTTTTTAAAAACTAATCATATTTTCATATTTTTATTATTGTATATACATAATGTATTATATCTATTATGGTGCACATTACATTTAAATGGCTCTCCATTATAAATGGTTTTAAAACAAATTAGTAACTTGTTTATAATATTTTGGCTTAAAAAAGTGATAATAAAAATTGTTTTAATTGAATCAAGCTAAATAGTATGTTAAATATGCATACATTTTGTGTTCTAATTTGTATATAAAAGTGTTTAAAAGTATATTTACACAAAAAAGAGTTATCATTTTTAATAATGAAGGTTTTTTTTTTAATTTTGCTTTATTAAAGGTGGTCTGTTTTTGTTTGTTTTTTTACTCTCTCGCTAACTCTGTTTCTATGTTCGGTTTCAAGGTATATTTCTATGTTTCTATGTTCGGTTTCAAGGTATATTTTCAGTGACATATTCAAACATTTTTTGGGCATACCGGTCTAAAAATTCTCTCTACATTAAGAGGACCTTTTTCTTAATAAATATTTTTCTAATGGGAAGTTTTTCCTAATGGAAAATTTTCTTCCTAATGGGGAAATTTTTTTTTCCTTATGGGCATTTACATTTCTGTGCGTGGTTTTTTATTTTTCTTTGTTTTAGCAATTAAAAGCTGGGACTTTATGCAATATGCATACTATTTTGATTTTCTTAAAGAACAATTATAACAAAAATATTTTTATCATATTTTAGGCTATCTGAACAAATTAAATATACACACTTTTACAATTTTATTTTTTTGAGTAATAATATCGCTACGTTGTGAAAAATATACAATAATTTTCAAAACGCCATACTCTAGCTAGAAATAATCGATGACTGCGGATTCTCATCGAAAATTTATTACATATGAGTTGCAGAAGTATAATATTTCACTTGAAATACTCACAAGCAATTTATTTTCATAAAAATAACTACATGAAATTGACAAATTTGCAACATCCGTGCGTGACTTCCGTGCGTGATCATTCATAAACTGCATTTAAACGATTGCTGTGACTCTATGATTCATAGTGCAATCCTGTAACTTTCTGGAAATCTTTACTAATGTTTAAAATATTATTTAAAAAAAAAAGTATACCGGTGAAACTTATATTGTCCGAGGAATTAAAGTTTATTTATCTAGTAACTAAAATAGAAGTTTTTCTGTTCCGTGCGTGATTCCATTTCAAACTTTATTTATTCTTTGTTAACATTACTAATGCTTACTATTTTTTGTTTACAAAATATTTATATTGATTAGAATTAAATGAGAGTAAATTGGAGATTGCTAGTTTTATTTTTATGAAAATAAAAGTAAAAACATATACGAGTTTCCGTGCGTGATTTTTTGGAAATGCCCTATAGTGAAAATTTAAAAAAAAAAAAAAAAATTTTTCTAATAAGAAGTTTTTCCAAAAAAATGTAAACAATTAACCAAAATAATGTTACAAAATGATGTCTTTAATGCCTACATTGATTCGTTGCTAGTTTTTATTTACTTGCTTTATTTGTTTAATTATATAAAAAGTATTATTTCATAAACAAGCGAAAACAATAACATTTAATAAACAATATTTGTATGTTTCTTTTATAAAGACTTAAAAAGATTTATTATATAGCGTATTTATTGCATAACAAAGTCAATTAATGCAAAATATTAATTAATTCATTCAAAAATTAATAACTTTTTTTTCTTGTTTAACTCTTACTTTTTAAATCAAGTTTTTTGGCGTGATTATTATAATGTTATCATGCTATAAAAACTTTTATTTGTTTTATTATTTAAAATATTTTCTATGCAATTTTTCTGTTATTTGAAATGAAAAAGTTTAAAGCTCATATAGTTTAATCACTTCAAAAATTATATTATGTAAACGTAAGCGGAGTATTTTTAAAATGTTAACGTTTTTATTTAAAAATGCGTTTTATATTTTAATTCAATCAAAATATGCATTTTACATTTTAATCCAATTGTAACATATTCCATATTTCATCAACGTGAATTCGAATAAAGCATTCTAATTGACTTAAAATGCATTTATAATGTGTTTTAAAAGTCGTTTTTCAAATGTTGGTTTTTCCAAATAACATTAATAACATAACAAATTTTATTATCATAATTATCATAACAAATTTTATCACAAAACAGACAATAAGTAATGAAAAATTATTTTATTTTATTTTTTTGGGTGCTAATATCAAATTGTTTTAAAATGAGTTTGAAATGAAATTTGGGGGCCTATACCGGTGCAGTATGAGATTTGTTTGGTTGCAAAAATACATTTTGCTGCAAAATATTTTATGGGAGTAAAAATCTCATAATGGGAGTAAAAATTTAATATTAGATTTTTACTGGGGAGTAAAAATTTCATATGCGATTTTTACTGGGGAGGAAAAGTTTCATATGCAATTTTTACTAGGGAATAAAAAAAACGCGAGAGTAAAAATCTCATACTACACAAGTATACCGGTATCAAAATGGGCCTGGATACGTCGCTGATTTTATTTTTACTTTTTTTTTGCCTTAAGACGAACCTCTTGTAACAATGGTACTGGTGAAACACCATTACACGTCAATGTTCACATGTTAACTGGTGAAATCTTTAACACTTGGATTGATTCATTGCAGGCTGCTTTTACTGGTGTTCAGGTATCTTGATAAGTTTTCAATTATTAAGTTATTTTGTTTTCTCAAAAGAAACGAGATTATGTAAAAATTTCAAAAGTTTGAATTATTTTATTTATAGATTATTATTTTTCAGTGTTTTTTTTTTGTTTTTGTTTTTAATTTTTAAATGTCTTTTAGCAATATGATTATTATTGAAATTTTTATATTGTTTTATTTATTTTATTTTTTTTATTTATTTATTATTGTATATTATTGTTTTATTTATTTTATTTTTTTTAAAGACCCAGGTTAATATACTTTTAAAGAATTTTTTTTTTAATATTAAAGAACCATCTGATGTGATCTTTTTATGAGGAAGTTTTTGAAACTTAATTTTATTTTGTTGAACACATTTTAGTTAAAAATACACATGTATATATACAGTCTATATGCATATACACATGTATGTATATATATATATATATATATATATATATATATATATATATATAATATATATATATATATATACAACCCTTGGAATTAGGTTCGGCATTCGGTAATGCCGACTTAACTACCTGAAAGTGTTTTAGGTTGGCATAAAATTACTAACCTGGTTTCTATGTTATATGGTCACACCTTTGTATCAAATAATTTTTGCGGACCTGATGCCGACCTCTAAAAGATTAAGGTTGACAAATTATTGCCAACCTCATTTTTCCTAATTCCGAGGGTTGTATGTATATCAACCCCATGCTGTAGCAGTAGTGAGATCCTTTTCAAGCTCAAATGCCTCTTCCAAGCAATCAGAGAGTATTGGTTTCTAATCAAGATAAGGGCAAATTATAGTGTCATCGGCAAACAATGCCACCTTAGATGTGAGCATTTCTGGGAAATTGTTAATGTAAATTTAAAAAAAGTATAGAGTTCGAAAGTCAAGCAATGGATCAACCTGTTTTTCGACTATATCAGGTAGGATGTGATTAGTGGAATTAAGAGATGAAGTTGAAGAAAAGGTCTTAGCAAACAATTCAGCTTTGTCTTTAGGTGAGTGAACCATGCATGAGAGGAGTAATAATAGATTTGCCTTTATTATAGATACTGTTAGAGGTTCTCAAGAAGTCTCTGGAGTCTAATTTTTAAGATGAAATACTAGATTTAGTGACCTGAGAATTCTGGGCTTTGGCGTTAGACAAAACCTTTTTACAATGGTTTTTAGCAATAGTAAACAGACACTTATTTTCTGAAGAATAGTTTTGGGGATAGATATGGAAGTAGTGGTTACGATTGAATATTGCTGCACAACCAGAAGAAAACCATGGAGAAGAGCAAGGCTTAACTTGGAATTGTTAAGAGAAAATAAAAGATTTCTACCCAAGGCCTACCATGAAGAAAATCACGGAAATAATCCCAGTTTATTGCAAGAGGTACAATGGTAGTAGGATTCTTATGGTGAAGAAAAATGAGATAATAGTTTTAGAGAGATCAAACTATGATCAGAAGCATCTAAGGGTAAATGTGGAGAAACTCCACATTCACCCTTAGGTGCACTGACTAGGATCAGAAACAAAACATAAGTCAAGTAGAGAAAGTAAATAATTCGGATTGTCTGTAAAGTGAGTTGGAAATTTGAATATTTGCATTATAGATTGAGAAAGCAGGCTTGGTCGGGAAGCGGGTGCGATCGCACTCTATAACTGACCACAGAAATAATATTTAGTTGCGAAAAACCGGCCAGATTTTTTAGTCATTTCCTTGTTTGTCCGCAAAATAATTAATATTTTATCGTAAATTTTGTTTTACAGACATACATGAAAACATACACAAACTTTATGGTCTGTGCAGAAAAATTAAAAAAAAATATTCTCGAACACAAAAATCCTGCCAAATCTACAAACAACTAATTATATTGGTTCAAAAAATACTAACCGAAATTTCTAGAGTTTTCAAAAAATAGCTTATTTTCATTATAAGTCATTTTTAGGCTTTGGTCCATAAAAAGGCCTCCGAAAACGTAATCTTTTCAAATCCAAATGTAATCTTTTAAAGCAATTTGTGCGATTGATTTTGTAAACAAAAATACTTTCAATAATAACTGCGTTTTCAATGAAATTATTAATAATCATCAAAGTTAATACAAAAAAAGCGGACGTTTATTTCAGGCACCCCCCTTTAGTAAGTCCGTAAAAAAGTCTTACACGAAACGAGTATTGTTGAAAACCATATCCTAACCAAACCCTAACCCTGAAAGTTATGGTTAGGGTCCGGGTTTGGTATAGGGTTTGGTTTGGGTATGGCTTTCAATATAAAAAATTTGATTTTGGGGTTCAGGTTAGAGTATAATTTTTAATATATGCTATGCGTAAAACATGACTCGTTTTTTACGGACTTACTAAAGGGGGGTGCCTGAAATACACGTCCGCCCAAAAAAACTTTAACCGCTAATTTATTTTCCTTAGTGTACCCAATAACTGGTTCTTTCCCCCAAAAAGAAAAGTTTTTAAGATCTTAGAAATTGGTTTACTAACTTATTTATACTAAATTAATTTTGCTTCAGCCATTCTTACAAACTCATTATATTTAAACTTAAAGTTACTTTTTCTGTTTTAGATACTAATTAAAATTATAAAGCCCACTCACTATACATTTCAGCGGTATTGTGAAGCAGTTCCGCTTCCTCCTCACAAAGTAATTTAACGTTTTTAGTTAATTTTAATCTAGCTAATTGAATTTCTACAGTAACTCAATGATTTAATTATTTCATTTGTTTATCTTACTATAAAGAATTGTTTCAAATGTGTTAAACTTTTCAAGCTACGCAAAGCATAAAACAGTTATTGAAAAAACTTTTTTATTTATAAATAAATCATCTAGTGTTAGTTTATTGTTTTTTATTTATAAATAAATCATCTCCGTTAGTTTTATTAGTTGAATCTTGTTGGACTTTTCAGAGCCGGGTGCTGCATTATATAGGTGGCCTTTTTCATGTGCCACAGCGTAAACACAACTAAAAAAAATACCGAATGGTTCTCTTGACTATTTTGCGCCCCCTAACATTGTGAGTCCCGAGGCTATAGCCCTTCTACAACCTCTTCCCCCCCCCCCTCCTCTTCAAATTAGCTCTGGAAATAAGACATAGTGTTTAAATAAAAATTATATATACTTTTTGATAAATTGAAAAATATTTGTTTTCTTATTAAACAATCATTAATAGTAAGTTGTTACTTTATATAATAAATGCTGCTATATTTTATAAAAAAAATTACAAAAGAGCGACATTTCAAAAATATTTGCTTTAATTGTATTTATTTTGCCTAAATTTTTTTCGCGTTAAAAGCTATTTTTCTTTTTTTAACTGTCTCTCATCAGTCCAGTTAATTGTGCTTTTTTGTTTGTTTTTGAAATGTTCTCAAAACGACTAAAAAATCTGGCCGGTTTTTTGCAACTAAATATTATTTCCGTGGTCAATTATTGAGTGCAATCGCACCCGCTTCCCGACCAAGCCTGAGAAAGACTAAAGTTGTGGGTCTTAACACCTGCAGAGTCACTGACACTGAGCCAAGCAATTCAATGTCATAAGCATTAAAGTCATCAACAACATCAATATTGTCTGAATAAAGAGAAAGGGCTTGGTCAATTTGATCAGAAATAACATGGTTTGACCAATTTTTCAATTTGTATCATATATATATATATATATATATATATATATATATATATATATATATATATATATATATATATATATATATATATATATATATATATATATATATATATATATGGCTCAAGCTTGGCGGATAAAGCTGGGCCAACTGCGTTTATAATACGTTTCTCTTTTACACCTTGTCGGAAAGAGAAATAATATTGTTATAAGAACCAGCCTAAATATGACAACAATTTACCATACAGGGACAAATAAGAGATTTGTAGAGGTAAAGAATGGAACCAGGAGTAAGATAAAAGTGAGCACAATGAAAAGAAGCAACTTTAGCAGATGTTAACTTTGCAATTGATTGTATAAAAGGTTTCTATGAGAGGTCAGTGGTAAACCATAGTCCAATAAGATTTAAAGAAGAGGAATCAGTGGGAGGGTGTCATTCACTAATATAGGAATTTCGACAGTATTGCAATAGTTGTTTGCAAAAAATAATCGAGTTTTGTTAGAGTTTTTAAGCCACTGGAAGCCACAACCTGTTACAAAAGTGAAATCAAATTCACTTGTCTGGACCACCAAAAAACCTGGTTTTTTTGGTTTAAATTAGGTTTTTACTAAAAAATGCGGTATTTAGTTATCCTTTTAAATTAAAAAAAGCATAACGTATTTTATTTGAGTAAACTATATTCTTTATCAATATTATTGTTATATTTCATCAAAATTATTTAATATATCATTGTTTAATGTTCTATATATAAATACAAGCTTTGCTGCTTTTTCTACCCCCAATCGGTTTCTTAACTTATAATGAACAAGACCAAAAGTTTAAAAAATTGTGCATTTAATAAACCTTCAATTTCCATTATGTTATATGTTGAAACTGGTGCATTTAATAAACCTTCAATTTCCATTATGTTATAGTAGATTTGGCTTTTAATTTGAATAATATTGGTAACAAATTCTTGAACTCTTTATTTGCGAAATTCATGGCAGCTTCATTTTCATTTTCAGAAAGATTAGATCCAAAATATCTAGGATCTAGTGTGTTTGCTAGGAAATAAGCATCACTGACATTCTGAAGGTATCTAGATTCAATTTTTTTTTTTTTTCGTTTAATAAAAATGATAAACTGTTCATCACATCTTTAAAAATTTCAAGAGTCACTTATTTTTGTTTGATCTCTTTGCAACTTATCTAGAGCTACTGCAATTGGTTTCAATATTTTCAATAAATCTTCTGTGTTTCGCTTTATCTGTATATAAGTCTTTATTTTTTTCAAACATTGTAAAAATAATGCTCCAGTTGATGACATATTTTTCAAGTAAATCACATACAGAACTCCAGCCAGTTTCAGTAGGAAGTGGCATTTTTGTTTTTTTGCTTAATTTATGAATTGCTCCAGCTTGATGATTATTTCTTATATATTTTATTATTTGTGTAACATGCTTGCTCACATTTTCAATGTTAAGATCATTTGCGAAAAGATTCAGCATATGAGCAGCACATAAGTTACGATAATATCTCTTTCAGATGACAATACTTGTCTCATTGATTTCACATTAACTGCATCGTCAGTCACAAAGCTTTTTACTATGCATCCAAATTTACATCTTACAAAATCTTGATCAAGATCCTTTATAATATAAACAACTTTACTTTATAGTACTACTTATTCTGAACTCTGAACTTGTGATCATTTATGATCAAACGAAACATAATGTACTAACTTTACGCTTTGTAATTTCAGGGACTCAATAAGTTTACAAAGGATACTATTAGCTTTAGCCGATTCATTTTATATAATCTCATCACACTATACGTACACTTATATTGTGCAGTTAAGTATAATATATATTTAAAAAAATAAGTATATTATATATGTATATATGTAAGATGTATAAATTACAAAATAAATGTTTATACATATACAATATACTTACATGTCTCAATCTATATCATACTTATACTTGTACTATAAGTATATGAATAAACATTTGTATATACATATGAATGTATTTGAATATACATTTAGGTATATGCATGCATTGAGAAAACTGTAAGTTTTTTTTAAAAACACTTACATTTTATTATGAAACCTTTAGTTTTCTTAATTCCGTATTTTTAGTTAAGAAATTGTATGTGTGTCAATAAAACATAAGTATTTATTAGAATGTAATAATAAAAAAACTACAAAACATAGATAAACCAAAACTTAAAATTTTGTTGTGGGTGTGAGAATTTCTTGAAGATCTTTAATGTAAATTAAAAAGAGTATAGGGCCAAGGATAGAACCTTGAGGAACCCCTGAAGTTACAGGACATGAAGAAGAGTACTGTCTATTGAAGACAACTTTTATACTACGCTTGGTAAGGAAGGATTCAATAATCTGTTATTAAGATGTTACCTGATTCACCATAAGAAGAAAGCTTAAGGATCAGCATGTTTATAAAATGTAAAAATATTTCTGCACAAGCCATGGGTTTCCTTAAACTTTTTTTTAAAGGTCAGAAGCAATGAGCTTTTTTTTTAAAAAAAAAAAATGCTGTATAAAGTTTTTTCCGGGCTAACACCCTGGTAATATGTTCAATGATACACCAAAAATTTTTAGCTCTTTCTTAACTGTTGTTCATTTCAAAACTATTCTTGTTTATTTTTTAATGGAAAAAATCTACCTCTGAGGTTAGCAATGATTGTTATACTGAAACTTTTAATTTGGTAATAATATTTTGTTATATATATATATATATATATATATATATATATATATATATATATATATATATATATATATATATATATATATATATATATATATATATATATATATATACTCTTGCATGGTAGTCAGAAAGAGTTTCCCATAAAGAGGGCGTTAATAAACCAGACCAGAAAAAGTTTAAAAACTTAAATTTTTTTTTTTTTTTTTAAATGATAGACTGCCTGCCAAAACCAAACCCTCAGTCGATGTAGCAGCACTCCCTTGCGAGTCAGGCTATTTGTCAGTCGTTGTAGCAGCACTCCCTTGCGAGTCAGGCTATTTGTCAGTCGATGTAGCAGCACTCCCTTGCGAGTCAGGCTAGAAGATAGTCGATGTAGAAACACTCCCTTGTAGCAGCAGGCTATAAGATAGTCGATGTAGCAACATTTACGCATGTTTTAAAATTTTTTTTTGATAAAACAAAAATACCACTAATTAAAAAAAACTTTCTAGTCGTTATTATTGCGGTTTTTTAAAAAATTTTTAAAAAACAATAAAATTTGATGTACTTCCGCATTAATTTAATTGCTTTGACATTTCGACGACAATCAAATACAGCTTAAGAGACGAGGTAATTAAAATTGTAGTCGAAAGAATATATATATATATATATATATATATATATATATATATATATATATATAAAATATATATATATATATATATATATATATATATATATATATATATATATATATATATATATATATATATATATATATGTATATATATATATATATATGTATATATTCATGTATATATATAATATCCAAGCTGTCTCAGTATTTTAGTTTTGATGATCACCAATTATTTTCAATTCATCTTATTATTAATTTTTTTTTTGTTTTGAATTTATTGTTTCCTATTAAATTTAAATCCTTGCTACATATTTGAATACTTGCTACAAAGCAAATAGTATAGAGTCATATATTTGACATCTAAAACACATGCATCACCCGATTTTCACTTAACTTGACACATTCAGCTTAACAACATTACAGTCTTCTTCTCATGCGATGAAGATAATTTTTAATATTTTCTTTTAGCTTGTTTGGTTGTATGTAATGCATGTTGACAGGTTTGATAAATAGGATTTGGTTGTACCTGTTTTTCATGAAAAAAATTAAGTCATTATTACTTATACTTAAATATAAAATATTTGGTTGTTTTCAATATCCCCATTGAAATAGTCTGCATTTTTATGGGGTTATCTAAATTGTTCATTTAAAGCTGATAGTTTATTCCCTGATGAACTATTGTTATTGATGATGCACAAAAAGCTTGTGCGCTAGTGCCTAATTTACTGAAAATTTTTAACAAAAGTTTAAAGAGGCTATTTAAAACATATTCAAAATTTTTTAAATACATTTTTTCAAATAGAGCAATCGTTATGTTTGTTACCTCTAGTAATTTGTACTAACGTTGGTTATTGAGCAGTGTAAAAAAAAACATTTCAGACATGCATCAAATGCGGTAAATTCATATATAAAAGAAACCATGTTATTATTTTATTTGATTTATTTCGTCATTACAAAATTTTTTAATCCAATAATATATTTTACAAATATATAATATGAAATTTAAAAATAATAGCAATTTATTTTCCTCTTATATAAGTATTGAGAAAAATCATCAAATATAGCAAAAATATTTTTAAAAGCAAAAAGGTGTCAAAACAAATAGACGCAAGACAAAAAATTAAAAAGATTTCTCATAGTTCTAGCATACATAGCAAATTAGTTTCTTAATTATACGGGTTGATAAAAATTGTGAAAAAATTGCATATCAAAATTTTCAATTGTTGTTAAATTTTTATAAAAGACATTATGTTTTTTTCATCAACTTATATTAAATTCTGTAGCTAAAAACAACAACCACTCAAAACACACACTAAAAAAGAATATAAAAGTTTTGTAAAAATTTTATAGAAAATTTTTTTTTTATAAATTTTCTTTTTTTAATTATTAAGTTTTCTAGTTGATTTAATTAACACTTACCATTTGGTTTCTTTTTTTAAAAATTGTTTTTTTCTCAGTCGATAAGTTTAGCTTTTTGCCGCAAATTATTGAAACGCTTTATGAGTTAAAAGATGCGAACTGCCATGGTCAGTGTGTTTAAAAAAAATTACTTTAAACATGGACAAATAAGGCATGCCACTTTTTTTTTTCTTTAGTTCACCTTCCCAAGGGTGAGAAGGCCACTACAGAAGAGGAGGCTACTTAAAGGTAGTTTTAACCCACTCTTAACTCTATAACTCTGAAACACAAACCTTGACAAACAAGGCTGCTGCGCAGAGAAATAAGTTGAGCGCAGTACTACCAGGGACATGGTGGGGATCGAACTTGGAACCTCTCGCGTTTTCCGGGAAGCTTTAGGTAATGTTTTGACAAATAAGAATTGTACACAACATAATGATTAAAATAACAGTCTTTAAAGTTACTAGTTACTAATACCTAACCCTCACCTGACTGCTCCAAACACATCAATCCTTCAATTTTATAATTATTGCTGGTGCATACAATAAACTAAATTTGATAATATTAGCTTAAATTTTTTTATAATAATCAGCAAGCTTTGCTGACTATTATAAAAACTTTACATTTGCATTTATGGTTTATGAATTCTCAGCTACATATTGTGAATTCCCAATTACATATTATGTTTTCTTATTAATGCGTTGCGCTTTTTAATAACAAATTACAATTTCCTAATTGCACATTGTGTATTATTACATATTATAGTTTCTTAATTACAACAATGTAGTATTAGTTGCAGTGCTAAGATATCAGTTAAGGTTTTACTTGATAAATGTAATTGTTACAGGTGTTGTATGGTGATATTGATGAAGCAATATGCAGTCATGCAGTATTCTATGGAATTTGGCAGCGTTATGGTGCACTTCCTGAACGCTTTAACTGGAAACTGCGTGCTCCAGATGTAAAATTTTATCCATTGCGACCTGAGTTTAGTGAATCGACTTATCTTCTGTATCAAGTAAGTATTTTTAAGAATATTCTTTCAAGTTTAGAAAAAAAACATTTTATTTTGTTTTTAACTTTAAAGAATAAACTTGATTTTTTTTTTTATTTAAAGGCTACAAAACATCCGTTCTACTTACATGTTGGGGCAAAAATAATGGAGAGTCTAGAAACACATGCAAAAGCGATGTATTTTTACTTTTTTTTTTTTAAATCTAATTAAGGAGAGGTTTTAACTTGATTAAAATTTAACATAAGTTTGATATTTGCAGATGCGGATATGCAACGCTGCATAATGTTGAAACCAAAACACTAGAGGATAGAATGGAAAGCTTTTTTTTAAGTGAAACAATGAAGTATTTATATTTGGTATGTTGTCTATTTTGATAAATTAATTATGTAAAATGTTGTAATAGTTCATCATGTCTTATTTGATTTTATTTGTATGTATATCAGTGGTTTTCAACCTTTAGTTACTTGATTGCCTTACCTGCAAGGCCGCTTAATGTCTCCTTCAACATGTTTAAGTTACTACTTTGTTGGTTAAAAAAGTAGAGAAAATTTATTTAAACAATGTCTAAAAAATATTATTTTTTACTCCTATTTCAAACATTTACAATAGGGCTTTTCTAGCGTTACGTGTGTAACTCTGGTACAAATATTTTTAAATAGAAGGGATCATAAATAATTGTTTACTACAAATATGCAAGATATATATTGCAAGTATTATAGTAGAAGATGTGTCTGATATAAAATAATATTTCTCTTAAAAATATGTTTGTTGCACATACTAGTAAAAGAACTGATTAGTTGCGTTATGTGTGTGAAACATACAAAATTATAAATTTGAATTTTAAACTTTGATTAAATATTTCTACTAATTGGCTACGATTAGTTTAATGATTTTTTTTATGTTACAGACAACATGTTGATGTTTATAAAAAATACTTTTATTTTTCAAAATTTCAATAATTTTATAAAAATAAATGATAATCTTTATTGTTACGTGTTTGACAAATTTTGTTACGTGTGTGTGACACTGTACAAACTTTTAATAATTTAATAAATTTGAAACAATTTTTTTTTTCATTTTTTTAACATAACTAAAATAAAGATTAAACTGAGTAGCACTTTTGTTATTTTTTTTAAGTTTCAACTTTTTTAGCTTTATTTTATCAGGGTACATAGTTTCATTGTTCTTCACAAGGCACCAATCATTAAAAGCCATTTCTAGAGATTTAGAAAATATTTCGGGAACTTGCAGGTCATTAATATAGTTAATTTGAAAATCAGATGACTTTGAGTCACTTGTTTTGAAAAGTAACTTTTTTTCATTTAAAAAATTGACATGATGAATTTTTAGTATTCCCGGTGGTTTTTTGACTTCTATAGGAGATTTTTTGTTGTCTATTTTACTAATGATTTCATCATTGCTAATATAGAGAATATTAGTAGGTGTCATTAATGGTTTGAAAACATTTAAAAAATCCATAGAGGTTTATGCACACACTTTCTCATTCTTGCTCATACATTTTATTCGAAGAAGAGACTTAACTCTTTCTCCAACACCATCTAAACTTTTCTTTGTGAAGTTGCAAAAAATTTCCACTTCATATTTTATTTTATTGCAAAGATAATTGGTTGAGTAATTTCATCAACTTATTTTTAAGTTTTGATGATGGGCCATCGGTGAAAAGAGTATCATTATTACAGTTTTCAGACATAAGTATCTCATATAATTACCCAAATAAAACAGTGAACACTATCTTTTCCCTTGTCTCTAGTGTCTGAACAGATAAAGATATGTTTTGCAATTATTGTTGTTGAAAAACAGTAAACAATTTAACAGTGTTTCTACTCCACAGTGTACTTCATTTGGATATTCGCAAATATATGCCATTGCAAAATCCACCTGAAGAACTCTTTCTCCTGCAATCCCCTTGTCTTTTTCGAATTCTGCTGCTTGAATTCTTTTTGTATGAACATGTTCCTGAAATTTAGATAAAGTAAATAGTAGTTCCTCTATTAATTCTCTTATGCACCCATTTTTATCACCCATCATAAACCCATTTTTAAATTGTAATTGAAGGCATTCAATATGAGCTATTATACCTAATGCCTATTGCTTTAAGTAATAAGCAAAAGTTCTCATGCAGTTTTCACTTACACTGGTCTGTGGGTGTTTCTTCAAAAAAAAAAAATATGTTTTTTGGTCTAACAGTAAATTACAAAATGTAGAGAAAGGCATTATCTCTCCATAAGTTAATCAAAAAATAGAGTAAGCCTCTCTCAAAAACATTTTCAAAAAATATTTTCTCAGCTTTTTTCTTTTTCCATTCTATTTTTTTTTCTTTATATGAATCCTTTTCTGTACTGTTTATTTTTGCAACTTTTAGTTTTCACATATTCTTAATCCTTTTAATTTTTATTGAACAGTATTCTTGTCACCTTTTCGTTTTCCTCTAAAGTTTTTCAGTCTCTCAGCTCAAAACAAACATTTTCATTTTTATTACATATTAACCTAAACTTAAAACAGGAAACTAATAAAATTTACAAAGACCATCGAATTGATAATTTATAGAATTATTTAATTCATCTTTTTAAGCTAATTCAAACAGAAATAACTTTCAAATACTACAATGGTTGTTTTCTTGTTGAATTTATTAAAAAAAATGAGAATAATTTTTAAAAAAGTAATATATATCATATTTACATATTTCAATATTATATTCATGTTAAGAGCATTTATGCTCAAAAAAAGTTTCAAATTTTAAACTAAAAAAATTAATAGCAATATTTTTCTATACACTATACAAAAACTTCTAAATGTATTTTTAAATGTAAATTGTAAAAAAAGTGTGATTGAAAAATTAGCTCTCTGGTTTCACTAATATGAGAAACACCCAATAACAAGTTTAAGTTGTAATAGAAAAAAAAAGATCTGAAGTTATTTGTTAAACCCATTTGACAAACCTTAATTAATATTGTTTTGAAACTTACTTCATGTATTTCTATTTTTTAGTTTCCTTAACCATCTCACATATTTAAATGCATACAGACGTGAGCAGTTGTTTTCTATTTTTTAGTTTCCTTAACCATCTCACATATTTAAATGCATACAGGCGTGAGCAGTTGTTTTCTATTTTTTAGTTTCCTTAACCATCTCACATATTTAAATGCATGCAGATGTGAACAGTTGTTTTCTATTTTTTAGTTTCCTTAACCATCTCACATATTTAAATGCATACAGACGTGAGCAGTTGTTTTCTATTTTTTAGTTTCCTTAACCATCTCACATATTTAAATGCATACAGGTGTGAGCAGTTGTTTTCTATTTTTTAGTTTCCTTAACCATCACACATATTTAATGCATGCAAACGTGAACAGTTGTTTTCTGCAATTATATCAAACTTAAAATTTCACCTTTTACTAATTAATTTATTAATTATTCTACTAGCTGTTAATCATTAGATTACTATTCTACTAGCTGTTAATCATTAGATTACTATTTAAATATTAACATCACCATTGAAGAAATTTATCTCTTAAAATAAAAACGTTTCAAGGATTCTTGTTTTTTTATATACCTGTTAAACTTAAAACAATTCGAAACAGCTGAAGTTTGGTT